CTTAAATTCCAAAACCGTGCCCTTTGTTGACGAGGACACAGCTTTTTTAGAAGTGATATAATTTTAATATCTGTCTTGTAGAATATGGCACATAAAACCAGATTACTCATTGCTTCATGTCAGGATTGCATTGAACTTTATTAAGGAAAACATACATTTTAAATGCATTTTTAAAGTAAGGCATTATAGATGATTATATGTTTATGATAAAAATTGTGTATGTGTTAGGTAAAAATAGGCAGTAGTTTATATTTTTTTAAAGGTCTCAGACTGCTCTAGCTTGTCTGTCTAAACCAGATTAAAAATGCAGCATAATCTTTTGCTTTTATGTCTGTTTTCATCCCAACAGCACGTGTGCCTGTGTGGAATACTATGGGAAGGCTTTGGAATCCTTAATTAAACAAGTGAAAATAATGAGCATTCATGGGAAAATGAAACACAAACGTAACAAGATTTTTACTGAATTTCGGAAGCTCCCAGGGTAAGAACATATAAATAAGCTAAGCTAGCCAAAAGTAAAAATGGTATGGGATATGTAATTTTGTCTGACAATGTTATTTTGCTGCTTAAATGTGGAAGAGTGGCATTGTGCTGAGGAGAAGGATGCTGCTAGCTGGTTCTGAATGTATTTATAACAACACAAACTATGCTTAGCTACTCAAAGTACGATCACAAAGTGAAAATGTGACTGGAGCACGCCCAGTGTAATTTTGCTAATCCGTGTGGCAGCATGGAAGGTGCAGGGACACGGATTTAGGATATCCTGCAGCCCGGGTCCCTCTGCAGTTTGCAGTGCTTGCTCGCCAAACATGCACTGTGGAGCCCATTGTTACTCCTGCTTTCTGGGCTACTGTTTTAACTGGGGACACTGTGCTGTCACGTACTACAACCACATGTTAACCTTGCTGTATAAACATACTATCAGGAGGGAACTGGTAGTGAAAATAACCTTTTCCTGATTGGTAACCAGAGCGGAAACCCATTTTATTTGTATATGAACAAGAATATGGCAACACGATGCTGTAATTTACCTGCAGAAAAGTGTTGTCAGCTTTGCAGGATGTTGTTAAGAGACTCTCATCCCGTTAGCTGTCATTTTTTATTGCATAGGACCTGAGATTTAGCAGTGTGTATTATAAGAAAAATAATTACCAACAGACTGGAGGAACAACTGTTTACAATAGCATGCTAAAACTGTCAGTCTCTTAGGTCTTTTATTAAAACATTTATAGTATTACCTTCAGCTCTGGTGGATGCAATGGTGATATAAAATTAGAACTTGTAATAGGGAATTGATTTTTTTCTTAGTGATGTTGGCTGTAATATAAATTGCATTCCTTTCCGTAATGTTACGTAGAATTTCAGTTGGTGGAAGCTGCAACTACCTTACAATATTTTGTGTCTTTTCAAAACACATATGTTTTAAAACATTTTGTTCTTCATTCTCCAGTGTAGATGCAGAATACACAGTTGGGGGGATACTGGCTCTTCTCAAATGACAGTTTAATGAAAATAACTTTTTCTTCTTCCTAGTGGCATTTTAGTTTGCACTGATGTGATGGCCCGTGGCATAGACATTCCAGAAGTACACTGGGTTTTACAGTATGACCCACCTAGCAGTGCAAGGTACAAGTTCACATCTTAAGAATGTTTACTCTACTTGTGGTCATGTTACTATACTGCTAAGATATAAATTGAGAACACACAACTGCGGAAAACACCTTTAATTGCTGCCTGCAAGTTAGTCTGAGTGAACACACAAAATAACGCAGGAACAAGGAAGGTTGGAACACTGCAATTTTTGTTGTAACTGCTGTGAATTGAAATGATTTTGCGTTTTAAGTCAAATGGGTGGTCACTGCATATATTTGTGTGAAGAGGCACTCTAGTGCAAGGTATGAGAGTATCAAATAATGAGAGGTGAGACTCTAGGGTGAATGAGAAGAGATGAGAGTGAGGACAGAGCTCTGCAAGGAACAGTACATTGAAAGTCCACGAGAGGTGCTTTTCCACATATTTTAACTTCCAATGTCATAATTCTCCCTACAACTTGCTTAAACTCCATCCCCAAAACAGATGCCCGTTGTTTTAGCATACAGTCCTACCAATTGAGCGGGACTGCTACGTCTTGCGTTTTGCTGATTCCTGCTAGTTTATTTCAAAAGTATATAGCACTCTGTATTTTCCGTTCCATCAGATTTCCCCTTTTGCTGTCCGTGCAGTACTTTAAAATCAGACTGAGTCTCTCTCGTTAAGTTAGTGCTGTGTTGTGTTGTTTCAGTGCCTTTGTGCACCGCTGTGGTCGAACAGCGCGGATTGGCAATGTCGGCAGTGCACTTGTATTTTTGCTTCCCATGGAAGAATCTTACGTTAACTTTCTCTCCATCAACCAAAAGGTTAGTAGACTTTTATTCTACCCCAAAGCAGGAAAGGGCAAGGGGGCAGGCTTACTGATAGGAATTTTGAAATCAGAATTTGTAGAACTTAAGGTCAGATGCATAGATAATGTTTTAACAGAGGTGTATAATTAAAAAAAAAAGACGAGCTGCTTATTAATCACCAGATGCAACTATCTGTTAGAACATGATTGCTCCCAGTGTTACCTACTGAGTTTGTAATAGGAATGCGTGATGCATTGAGTAAGGAAAAGCTTTTCATTTCTAAAGGTGTGGAGACTGAGCGTTTCCAGAAGGGCAGTGCAGCCTTACACTCCTACCCCCACCTTGCTGCCACCAGTTTGTGTGCTGCACCCTCCGTGCTGCTTATTTTTAACTCTTGAGAATTTCCCGTGCCCAGTCCTGTGTTTGTGGGATTAATTGTATGAATTCTCTAGAGGCCTGCTAATGAGGATGTAGCTCAATAAGGTGTGAGATGAAGATCTTGCCTCTCTTGAGCCGCAGTGTGCGAACTCTTCTGCTGGGCTAGGGCATCTGTGTGCGGGGCTGAATGGTGAACTAGTGTGCTGAAATGGCCAAGTAGAAGGGGGAAAGGGGCTCAAACTGTGTTTGAAGTTTCACAGTGTGTTTTAAGTCATTGAGCTGAACTTTTCCTTTGTTTTTTTCTTTCTTTTCTGGTTTTCAGTGTCCCATGCAGGAAATGAAACCACAGACAAATGTGCTAGATCTCCTTCCAAAACTGCAGTCTATGGCCCTAGCTGACAGGGCAGTATTTGAGAAAGGGATGAAAGCATTTGTGTCTTACGTCCAGGCTTACGCCAAACATGAATGTAATCTGATCTTCCGAATAAAAGGTAATTCCCAACAGGATTTGGTATTTTTTCTACTGTTCTTTTCAGAAGACAGTCCTTGGTTTGGCCAAAAATGTGGTGGTGTTATCCACAGGCTTCAACTACTGATTCCTGATCTCAGTTACTTTCTGCAGCATCCAATTCTGACAAAACTCCTGTTTTTTCAAGCAACATGTTTGTCATCATTTTCAAGAGAAAACGTTTAATTAGCAAGTTTGACCAAAATTGACATAAGCATAAATAAAAGTGACTTAGTATTGCTACTAGTATTGAGTACAGAATGCAAATGATACAGTAAGATTTTTTTTTCTGTGACTGCTAAGGGAAATTATCTTTTCATCCAGCAGCAAACTGACTTTATAAATTTTATTTTAACAGATCTGGATTTTGCTAGTCTTGCCAAAGGTTTTGCATTGTTGAAAATGCCAAAGATGCCTGAACTCAGAGGAAAATGTTTTCCAGACTTTACTCCAGTCACTGTTAATACGGACTCCATTTCATTTAAGGATAAAAATAGAGAAAAACAGAGACAAAAGCAATTAGAACAACAAAGAAAAGAAAGACAAGAAAATGAAGGGAAAAAGAAATTCATAAAGAACAAGGCCTGGTCAAAGCAGAAAGCCAAGAGGGAGAAGAAAAAGAAAGTAACAGCTAAAAGGAAGCGTGAAGAGGTAAACTGTGCCCTGATTACTGTAGCGTAGGTACATACTTTCAAAGGGCAGAGCACCATGGGATTTTAGTTTGACAGAATTGATGGCTGTAAATTAACTTTTTAGGACCTTGACAGGAGAACTTAAGAAAATTATAGAGAAGCTTTTTAAAGCCAAACACTGAAACAGCTTCTCAGCACTCTGATGCTGGTCAGTAATGCTGCCAGCATAGGTAGCAGAGATTTCTGTTTCTCAGAGGTGCAGCAGCATGGTGTGATGGTGGACAGCACTTGATTTTTTTTTTTCTCTTTGCTTTTTTCAATTCTCAGCAAGTGTAACAGAGTTAGTTTCCTAGGAAGAAACTGAGTATTATTTCCTGCTTGGAAACTCATGTCAAAATCTGAGTTGTAAATTTCTCTTGTGTTCAGCTGTACAGAATGAAAGCCTTTTGGTGTGTTTAATTTGTTTTTGTTTTTTTTTTTCAACTGTCAACAGGGCTCTGATATTGAAGATGAGGATATGGAAGAGTTGCTGAATGACACAAGGCTCTTGAAAAGATTAAAGAAAGGAAAAATTAGTGAAGAAGAGTTTGAGAAGAGACTAACAGGCAGCAAGAGTAGACTCAAAGCAGAAACTATTGCTGACTTAGAGTCTGAAGGTTAAGTTATTCTAACCCCACTTTTACATTAAAATACTATTTCAATAAAACTGTATTTTTATAACAAAATAACAATGCAGAGAACAGAATTGATCTAATTTCTTCACAGAGACCTAGTGTCCATAAAGACATACAACCAAGCCTGCAGTTAAGAACAAAGCTAAAAGCACCGCTCCTGTATGGTTTGGCTGCAGATTTCCATTAGCAGCCTCGTGCATTTTTTTCATTTTGGTTTTATTCAGGTACATACCACAGGTCAGTAAGTAACAGCATACCTCAGAATGAGTTTGAGTAGACTGTAAGGTGTTTTATTTTACAATATCAAAATACTTCAGTCATCTTTAAAATAATTTATTTTAGGTTTTTAGAAGCTGTAGTAACTTTTGGATTTTTTTTTTAACAGTGGTCCATCCGCATGTAATGTTTTACTTTAAAAACTCAAGGCGGCCGATAATTACATTAATCCTTATAATGCCATCTCCTTACTGCGTCCATGTAACTTCTATCTTCCAAGTTCTTACAACTGTGATAGTCATTGAAGAAGATACATCCTGTACGCTGAGTCCTCTGTTACAGATAGAGTTTAATAAGTTCATCACTGACAGCTGATGGAGTTAACACACCAAGGTCTGTAAAAAGTAACGTAATTAGTGATGGTGATGTGTAGTCAATCCAGGGGTGCTCCTCTGTTAGATTCTGACTCGTTTTCAGAGTGTCTGCTTTGTACTAAAAGGAAACAGAGACCATTAGTTATTGCACAACTGCAAGTTAAAACCTCAAGCAGATGTTTGTGGTAAAACTGAAGGAAGTCAGTTGCTGTAAAGTGAGGCACAGGCCGGTGCCACCTTGGCCTCAGCTGTTTTATCTTCTGTATAAAATTCATTCTGTACTTCTGAAGTGTATCAATTTAATTTTCTTGCCTTCAGCTGCTCCTGTGCCCCAAAGGAGCCGCTTTAGGAACTAAATGTTGGTATTATGACAAATTACAGCTGTTTGACATCTGACTGTAACATGGAGCAACTCCATATTATGTAAAGTAAGCTATAGTAGAGAGATCCAGATAAATGGAGACATGCTTAGATGAAAATTATTCATAGACATGTAAGCATGCATCTTAGCTGGCTAAGAAGTAATTTGAATTTCTCTTACCTTAAACTTATCTGGGACGTCCTGCTGATTTAGAGGGAAAAGCCTTACAAACTTGAAGCTTTCTGCTACCACATAAAATGGTTTATTCTGAGCTTTGGCACACACAGCAATTTGATTAGTGCCAATCTGTGGAGACAGATGGAAAACAACATGCAGACTCGGTGCTAGCACAACATAATACTGCCCAGTTTCCAACAATAAATAGACATTTACTGGATAATGTCCAAGTAGAAAAGATTTTTCAGAAAGCCTTGAATTTAAAAGTCTAGAGTTTACAGAATGATGTAATAAACTCACTACCTATTACCTTGTTAATAATGCCTCCGCTTTCAACTACACCTTCAGCACCAACTAACACCAGGTCCACTTTCTCCATAATGTAGCTGTTCAAAGGGGGAAAAAATCCAAGTCTTACTGGGTAATATGACAAAGGACTTGCTGAACAGAACAGAAATTAGTAATTTGAACAGTCTTTTGCTTTTCTGAACTAGCTTCATCTACCTATATAAGTCCACCTGCTGTTACACATCCTTGGAGTGAGCTTTAATCTTGCCTGGCAGGAATATTAAGTATCTTCTCCAGCCATACCTGACCTCAGGAATTGCGTAAATGCTGGAAGAAGTTGAAATCTGAGTGATACTCGGTTACAGGAATGTGGGTGCCAGTGACAAGATACTAACTACACAGCAAAGTGTAACTGCACTGTGATAACTCTGGCCAAATACACATGATGCTCCTCATCCAATTCCCCTGTCTTTGCATCCCTCCAATGTGTTTTGTTAATTGAAAATACAGATCTAAAAAGAAAGCCATTGACTAAGTGATTTGGATAGGCTTAATGTGTTAAACAGAACTCGTAGACTTGTCCACTCAAGGCACTATCTTCTCTAGAGAGAGGTGCCTTGGTAAGTAGACGGGTTGGTACGTGTTCTCTTGGAGACAGTCTCTCAGGCATTTTGCCCTTCTGCAAGAATTAAGGTTCAGGTACAGTGTAGTTCATTCTTTTCTCATGTTTCGGACTTATACTAAGCAGCGGTAATTTAGCAAATAGCTTAAGAAACCCTGAAATGATAACACAGATTAGGAAATTAAGAAAAAAGCAGCCTTTTTGCATAGCATCTCAGTTCTTTTTTACAGATATCCCCAAGTTCTACACTTAGGTCTAACTCCTTCTTTCATTCTAACATGCAAACACCAAATACTTGTTTTGTAGCAGACACGCTCCCCTAATTGTGCAGCTAAAGGTGTAACTTGTTTAGCTTGTTTGATGACTCTGACTAAGTAACAACCTCTGCAGTTTGAACAAGCTTCTAGGAAACTTACACATAACGCTACCAAAATAAAACTGTGAAGAACAATATTAAGCTGTAATTATCAGACTTACCCAACTGCAGCATCCAGAATCACAGTCACGGGAATGCTGAGCTTCCTCAGGGCTTTTGCCATTTTTTGCCTATTAAAAAATCACATTTGAAGCTTAAAAGACTTTTCTTTAAAGACAATGCTAGAAAAATACTGTGTGAAAGACTGAAACCCGTGACTGCCTGTGTTCCCTTGCCTGTAGTTTTGGTTTATGATGTACCCTCTAAGAGAAAATAAGTTCTTATGTAGAAATGGAAGCAAACAGATTACAACAAACCCAACAAAAGTAAAATCAGTTTGTTTTAGCAATCAGAAGTTACAGCTACAGAAAGATGAGTCAGTGAACCATTATTAAGATGACATTACCTACACTGTCTCAGCTTTCCCATCAACAGGGTGTATGAAACAAGTAATAAAAGCATGGGGTGCATTGCTAGAAGTTATTTCAGTGAAGCTGGAAAATCTTTGATTCTAGTGAAAGACTTGGTAGCAACACGTATTATCCAGTATGCAGGATTTACTACTACACTTCTACAACAGTGTCTGCTCTGAAGAGGGAAGGCTTGCTTTCTTCCTATCAGTAATACACTTTATTTGGCATCTTCAAACTAGATTGTTAGCTAAATGTTTTACTTTGCTATGCTTAAGATAATACTGATTATTTTAGCCTACTTTTGAAGCAGGCAACTAGATATCAGTTATCTCCCAAGGGAAACACAGGTTGCCTGGCACTGACTGAAACTTTGTAAAACCTTTGAGGAAAACCTAGGTAACACTAATCAGAATTTACTATAGGAAACTACTTGCTAATAGTGCAGTTTTTTTACTTGTCCAGAATAATAGGATATTATTAGTGACAGTTACCATTTAAAATGCTGCAAACAAGCCTAGCAGCTTTTCTTAAGGTATGACAGGTTTGATGCTAGCTGTAACTTACCTTGTTAACCAAGATAAAACACAAATTAATGAGTACTTGCCCTGCTTGATCTGGCTGTGATTCAGTAACATAAACGCTGAATCGCTTCTTTGACTCAACAGCTGCTTCTAGCACTCTGAGGACCACTCTTGAGTAGGCATGCGTCAATATTCGCTGTCAAAAAAAAAAAATCAGACATTACTTTTTGCTGAGCTTCGGGAAACCTTTACTTTTGTTAATGATGTCATCACTTTTACTTCACACAGCTGTTCATCAATGTCAAATAATAATTCTACAAATCATAGGATAGCAAGTCACTCCGAGAGTTGGACTTTATGTGGCCTGCCCTGATGCGGCCAAGGGATGATGATCTAGTACCTTAAATGCAAACTTGAAGCTGTGACTCCTCAGCACCACTTAGAAGCAGACCACAAGTTAAAGCTGGATTGCATGGAAATTGAAGTAGGGGGAGGAGATGAGTCTTAACAAAATAAAGCAAAGGGTGATGTTACAGCTATGTGCTCGCAGAAGCCGCCATCAGACAGCGCAGTTGTGTATGTCAGTAAACTTTGCTCCCTTCCCCCTTCTGTTTTTCTATTACTGCAAACAGCAGAGCACCAGATCAAGAGTGACCCTGCCTCAGCCTACTTACGGCACCATCTCTGATGAAGGGATGACAGAGCTTGGCAATTTTGTTCCTTGAGAGAGATACTTTCCTGAGGAAGATCTCCCCGCGCTCGATCATGATTTCTTTGCACTTGGAGTAGTCCTGGAAAACAGCGATGTCTGCAGTGAGGCTGGAGGGTCTCCCAGCCAGGCACCACGGCCGAGCAGGGGGCAGCTGCTCTTACCGAATACTCCAGGGAGGTGAGGCTGATGAAGCGCAGGAAGAGCTCCCCGCCGGAGGAGACGGCCACCGAGGAGTCCACTCGAGACAGAGTGTCGATGGCATCCAGCAGACTGCTCCTCAGGCCCTGGATGGTCTCCCCTGCGGGAAGGCAGAGGTACGCGGTTAGGGCAGGGCTAGGCCTCACCGACACGGGCCTCTCCGT